TACATACTGGGAGAGCACTAATCAGATTTGTCCCAGAGGGTTCCAAAAGAGAACCAGAATCAATGGACATTAAAGTTTGACAATGCTGCCTAAAGGTACAGCAGAGCACTTTCATTTGTCATTACAATTACTTAGACAAGCTAGAGAGCCATTTGTGGGTGAGAAGGTTTAAGAGGTTTATTAGGTTACCTCTTGCTGTATAATATATTATCTCACAGTTTCTGTGAGTCAGGAATTCAGGAGGAGTTTTCAGTCAAAATGTCCAGGACTGCTGCAATCCTCTGAAGGCTCATTCAGATCTCTGAGCCTGCTGGCAGGAAACCCCAGAGCCTCACTGACTGTTGGAAAGAGGTCACTTCCCCGCAACATGGACCTCTCAAAAGTGCTGCTTGAGTGTTCTTCTGACACAGCAGTGGTGTCCCACATAGTGAGCAAGGAGGAAACCACCATCCCTTTTTTGACCTACATTCAGAAGTTACAAACTGTTGCTTCTGCCATATTTTTATTCATTGGAAGCAAGTCTCTAATGTCCAGGCAACACTCAATAGGAAAGGAATTATGCTCTGCCTCTTCAAAGGAAGAGTATCAAGCATTTTATGGATACCTATAACAAGGTCACACAGGACCTCGAAAAGTTCCATTATATCTGAGTTTTTCAAACTCTACTCATGAGTAAGTAAACAAAGGGCAAACTTCGAAAGTGTCCGTACTTGAGTCATAGAACCCTGGAAGCAGCTCACTGGGACTCTTGTGGTTGATTTATTTGTCAAGAAGAGAGGCCTAGTAATGGCTTCCTGGAAATTCCATTAAGTGGCAAAGGGGTTTGACTGAAACTGCTTTTGTTGTGTAATAGGAACAGTACCTTCAGAAGAGAAAGCAGACACAGAAAAAGCTAACGTTAGAGACTGCATTGATTATAATATTCTTGGAACAAAAAGTGACTGAGCAATATACCATATTTGGGAGGGGTGGCACATTGATACTGGGGTTTGAAATCAGGGCCTGTTCTACCACTTGAGCCATGTTCCCAGACCAGTTTTTTGTTTTGTTTTGTTTTTAAATTGTGAGAACTGCTTTGTTTTATTTGGATGTATAGCAAAGAAAGACTTCTTGGATTTCCTAGATATTATTAAGCATAAAGAAGCCAAGCATTTAGGAAGTTATAATTTTATGAGAATTTGAAAAGGGGGCTAGAGTCATTGCTCAAGTAGTAGAGCCCTTCCTAGCAGCATGAGACCCTGAGTTCAAACCCCAGTACAGGAAGGGAAGGAGGAGAGGAGGGGAGAAAGGGACGAAGGGATGAAGAGAGGAAGGGAAGGACGGAAGGAGGGAGGGAGGGAGGGAGAGAGGGAGGAAGGAAGGAAGGAAAGAAGGAAGGAAGGAAGGTAGGAAGGAGGGAGGGAGGAAGGAAGAGAGAAGGAAGGGAAACACAAGGAAGGGAGGGAATTTTGAAAAAGCAATCAATAGAAAGTCAGGTCCAAATATAAAGCAAATTAGGTCATGGCCTGATATGGAATAATTGGTAGACTATAGTACAGAGGAATCCACTTGATCTAGATGTTTGAAATACACTTCTTTTACAGGCAAAAGTTTATGACACACTTTTTTTCTTCACAGACCTAATCTTCCGCTACTTGGATGTAGTGAGCAATATTTATACAATCTTAATACTGTCAATGCTGGATACTAATTGTCACTGTTTGGAATCAACCTCTAATCAAAGTATAGAACACAAGCATGGCTATAGAATAGAATGCAAATGTTAAAACTATTAACAATAATGGTATGGTTGACAGAGGCTGAACTAAGGTATGGGAATTAGAAAGAAGAGAAAAATGCATGACTTTTCCTCAACTTACATAGTTGAAAGGGTGAGGGATAGTTGACAGAGATTATATAAAGTTTATGAATCAAGAAGTAGTGTGCTAAAGTTGTAAATAAAATTAAAGTGCTATTAAATCAGAGTAGTATTCCAACCAAAATCAGGCAGGAAGGTGTGTGCTGCAATTTGCTTTTTTCAGAACAAGAAAAGCAGAACCATGAGCACATTCTATAGAATGAGAGTGTTTCCCATGAGAATGGTGGCTCTGGGAATGGGGTGGCAAAGGTGACTTTTCATGTTGTGGTTCCTATTTTTTTTGTACTGTCTGGATCTGTTTTATTATCACATACTGAACATCCATAACTTCCTGAAAGTGGAAAATGAAAACTTCATGTAGTTGGTAGCATCTATAAGAGGACCCTTGCCTATGCACACCAGATTTTAGTAGAGAACTTTCACATACATCAATCCCTGTAGGTAATTTTGACAGAGGGCAAGATTTCATTTTGTAAGTTGGTACTTTATATTTAGTGCTTCTTTTTGAGATAAAGAGAAAGAATCAGTTTACAAGTCACTACCTTAGTAATAAAAACTATTTAAGATGAGTTAAAATTCTATAACTTATTCTTAAAATTATACTATGCCACCAAAAAAGAAACGACAACCAAAAGGCTCTTAAAATTTTTAGGATTAACCCAAACAGTCACGAGTCCTGGTCAGTAAAGAACTAGAACACATTCTGTCCTAGGAATAATCCATAAACACTTTTAATAATGCCCTCCACCCAAATACTAACTGTTATTCTGAATTTTTGTTGAAAGTCCAGGTAAATCCTCTGTATATGTTTACAATCAATTCCCTGCTACTGACTGTAGAACAGAATTCAAAGAATTCAATAAAGATTAAGATACTCTTTTGTTACTGGGACAAAATATCTGACATATACAATTTAAGGAGGAATGATTTATTTTGGCTTACAGTTTCAGTTTATCATGGTGGGGAAGGCAGTGCAGAGCAGTTCACATTAGGATGACCAAGAAGCACAGAAAGAATGCTTTTGCTAGTGGACTTCCTCTTTTTTCCTTTTCTATTCTTGGAGGATGAGGAGGGAAGAGCCTATAGGATGGGCTCAAAATCAGGGTGGGTTTTCTCCTTAGTTAATCCTCTCTGGAAATGTTCCCACAGGCAAACCCAGAGGTATGTTTTACTAATTTTCTAAGTACTTCATAATACAATCAAATTGACAGTCAAAATTAACTATCATAGACGCCAAAGAAACAAACCATAATTTATCTTTTTTTTTTTTCAGTACTGGAGTTTGAACTCAGGACCTCATACTATCTAGGCGGGCTCACTATCACTCGAGTCACTCCACCAGCCCCACAAATTATCTTGATTTTACAAAAGATGGCCACTTTAAAAAACAAAAACAAAAACACTCACATCTTCTTTGAGCAACCTGGGTACCAAGTACAGTAAATAGAAGAAATACTATAGTAAAAAGAAAAATGAGGTTAGTGGTCAGAGTCTAGGTGGAAAAAAAGATTTCATATAAAACTACTCTTTTTAGAGGAAAGAATGAAGAGATTTTATGAAAACACCTTGGAATTCTATAGAGAAATTACTTTGTATACCCATAAGACCCATCACTCTTCTGTTTTACAGACTCACAGAACTTTAGGGTGGGAACAGACCTATACTATAGCAGTTAACAACAATCATGCTATATAGATCAGGCACCACCCACATTTTCTGTATGGAAATTTACAGGGAGGGTTGAACTACCATAGCCCCTGTAAATGACCTATAGTGCTTGTATATTGAAAAAAATATAGAAGAGTGTTAATACTGTGGGCTATATCCCACAATATGATACAACAATGAACAAATTCTTGCCACATGGATGAATCTAACATGAAGAGCAGACAAAAATGATATATATTCTATGATTCCATTTATATAATACATGAAACGAGGCAAAACTAACCATGAAGCAAATATACTGGTAAACTTTGCAGGGTGTAAGAGACTAGGAGGGCTGGCAGAGGGCTTTGGGGACTGCATTAAAGTTCAACCTTGGTAAAATTTGGGTACTGGTTATATGTGGTGGGTTCATTTTGTGACAATGCATCAAGAAGCTACAATAATGATTTTTGAATTTTTCTGAATGTATGGATACTTCAATTAAAAATTTAATTAAAGCCAGGCACCGGTGGCTCACACCTGTAATCCGAGCTACTCAGGAGGCAGAGATCAAGAGGATCGTGGTTTGAAGACAGCCCAAGGCAAATAGTTTGCAAGACCCTATCTCAAAAAATCCAATACAAAATAGGGCTGGTGTCATGGCTCAAGTGGTATAGCATCTACTTAGCAAGCCTAGCAAGCATGAGGCCCTGAGTTCAAGCCCCAGTGCCACAAAAAAAAAAAAAAAAGTTAATTAAAAATAACACAGGGGTCCTTGCTAGCTTATGTACCATCTTTACACAGACTTTTTAAAAAAGAAGTCCCCCTCTGCTTAAACAAATCAGAAAAAGGCAACCCGTGGACAGTGGCAAACCCACAAATCTGTCTTGGCAAATGGAAGGTGGGTTGACTTCATCCCCACTGGTGTGCCTAGATAGACACAAAACCATCTGCAAATCTGCAAAAACACTCTTTTGACCTTCCCTCACCAAGGTTTTATGAGGAAGGCAGGGAAAATGTCCTTATTTTAAGATGAGGAAATGGCAAAGAACAGTAAGAGCAAAGCATGAAGGTGGCACAACTAATAAGCTTTGGAGACAGGACTGAGTTCTAGGCCACTAGGCTCTTCACACTATTCTTATTCCATTTGAGGAGGGGAACAGGAAGAAGCTTCTTTCTCTGTGACTGTTATGAGTCACCTGAAATGTTTTGTGGAATAAGGCAGGAAAGCAACACATGGCCTAATGTTATTAATACTAGACTTTACAAAAAGTCCTAAATTCTAGGCCCACTTGAAAAATATGTTGTTAAGCATATACTTAAAAATAAACACTTATCTTTTGTAAGTTTACCTGTGGAAAAAGGCCAGTAGAATAGATATTTAGATATCAATAGTGCAGTCTAACCCTCCTACAGCTTAAAATTATTGACTTTAAGGATATAAGTCTTTTCATGTCTTGAAGAAAAGAAAAACTTACATCTGTGCCCAACTTACCTAGAAGTGTCTGCTTATTTTGGGAGGAGTCAGGCTCTGCAGAACATCTGCATGAACGGAGAACAATCACTCCACCAAGCACACCATCTTCACTGGCGAGGAAAGGTGAACCTAGACAAAAAGGACTAACAGTCATTTTTCAGCGAATTTTATCTTTTTTTACTTTCAATTTTCATTTGATTACTAGAACAAAAATGTGGTATGAATAACATCTTGAAAGATGCCCATTTTCTGACAATCATCATTTGTTTGTACCTCATATAGACTTGATGGCAAAGCCAGGTTTATGCCTGAACAGGGGCCATTTGGCAAAGACAGTGCCAGATGCTGCCAAGACAACTTGAGTGGGGGAAGGACTGTGCAGTACTGTATTCAGAATAGAACTGGAAACACTACCAGATTACAGGACCAAAACATAACTCCAAATAAAAAAAAATATTCAACGACTCCCTTTCATCAGCTTCTTAGGGCCTCTTATCAGGCTCTCCTTGTTGTCAAGGACATACCACAAAAAGCTTTGATTTACTACCTTAGAATTGAGTTTAAACAATAAGCCACAAACTTTATTGCAAACATTTAAAAATGCTCCTGGTAGTTTACACAAATAAGGGTGAAACAGTATTGAGTCTGGTGGTTAAAAACAGCCCTGCCTCCTTGAGATCTCACAAGCTGAACCACTGTGAGCATTTCAAGAATGTTACATTTTAAAACCCCTCATTTTTCTTCCCCAAGGACATCTTCTAACATCTGGCATAGCAAGTGAGCATGTGGAGAACAAATGCAAAATTAACCAAAGATCTATCAAAGAAAGGAGAAAAATAAAATCAACCAAATTGGATTTGGAGAGAGCTTCTGGTTAAATTTAGTAGATTAAACGCATGCATTTATCTACACTCCTCCTCAAATTCCAGTGAATGGATGGGAAAGGCACTATACAAGAGTAGAGGAAAGGGAAGTGAGAAAAAAAAAACTTTTTTTTTTTTTTTGAAAAATGGGAAGATAGACAAGCAGTTGTTCATTTAGCAGACCTATGAAAGCTGAACCTAAGTTCTCATGGGGAGGGTAACTATAAGGAACCATTCTGTTTTGCCATAAAACTGAAAAAGAATCAAAAATTGGAAGCGTCAATCTCCTCTGAAGGCAAGGGTACAGGGTAGAACAGAAATGAAGATAGCTGCTTGAAAGTGTTTAGAAGAATCAGACCAAGGGCCAGCAAACTATGATTTAGTTTAAAAAAAAACAACTTCAAAAATGGCGGTTAAAAAAAGAAGGAAGAAGAGAAGGAGGAGGAAAAAGAGAAGGGGGAGAAATATGGAACAGAGACCATGAGGTAGCCTGAAAAGCTCATGATCTTATTCTCTGGCCCTTTTATAGTTTGCTGACCTATGACATAGAGCCCAGGAATCCTGAGAGGGAAGTTATTCCTCCTTGAGCTTGTGGAAGTCAAGATAGATACTCTCTGAACTAGAAAAACTTGAGACTTGAAGCATTAGGCTCAACCCAGGAAAAGAAAGAGGCTTCACACACTGAAAATGAGGGCTTAAGTGAAAGCCTTTGTAATAAACAGTAAAATAAACATCTTCCAGGATATAAAAAATCATGCTGAGATTCTCTAAATTAGTAACTAGATCATTCCTTTCTAACAACCCAACAAGCACAGGAGTAAAGACCTACTTGAGAAATGCTTCAAAAGTAACTTGTACTTGCCTTAGGGCTTCCAGATGGCAATTTTGAGTGGTACATGGGTTTTAAGTTCAGCTTCTTGTATTTAACTGTTAAAGAATATAGTCAACCTCAGATCACTTACTTGTTTGAACCAAGCCTATGTTTTAGAATAGACAGAGATCAAAATAAAACTGTGGGAGGAGATGAGTAAAAATATAAGAAAATCAGAACAGAACAGAAAGTCTAAAGCTATGAAAGGGAAAAAATTTCAAAGAAATAATTCAAAAATATTTCCAACAACTGAAGGATAAATGCTCAGACTGAAAAGGTCTAGTAACCTCCCAGTACAACTTATAAAGTACCCCATGAAGAGATCATTGTAAATCTATATATCATTATGGATGTCACTGTAAATATCAAATGCTGAGTAAATAAATAAAAGTCTAAAAAATGTCCAAGAGAGGGAAAAAAGATTACATGGAAATCAAGACAATCATACTGACATTAGATTTTGCAACAGCAACAGTGGATACTACTAAATAATAAGGATACATAATAAATCATCACACTGTCATATAAATTTTTGTGGAAAAAGTATTTCCAACATAGAAACATTGGAACTCTAGCCCCTTCCTGTCTCCTACTTTGCTTCCTGTTTGCTATGAGGTGAACAGCTCAGAATCGCCATGTACACTCTGCCGTGGTATGTTGGCCTGCTACAGGCCCAAATGCAATAGAGCAAAGCGACCATGGACTTCAGATCTCACCTCCGAGATTATGAGTCAAAATGAACAATTCCTCCTATTCTGTTGACTTTTTTTGGATATTTTGCCACAGCAATGAAAAGCAAGCACAATCTATGTTTACAAGTCATTTGTATTCCTTTATCTGTGAGTCACCTTCATATCTGTGGCATACACACACACACACACACACACACACACACATACTGATAACGGTCTAACCATTATCAATCAGTTCTTCCTTTTTGCCTTACAGACAAACCTGTAAATTTTGTTTGAAGCAGAGTGTGCCCAATATTCCAAACTCCTTTGCAGCTAGGAAGTCAAATGGCAGATGTTCTTTTTTCTCTTTTTCATTTATTTATTTTTAATGGACACATGAAAGTTACATAAATTATAGGATTTAAATGAGGGTAAACATATCTATCTCCTCAAATATGTATCACTACTTTGTGGTAAAAATATTCAAAAGCCTCTCTCTACCCTTTTGAGATACTCCATATACTATTATTATCTCTAATCATCCTACTGTGCATAGCACACCACAACTTCTTATTCTTATCTAATGGTAACTTAGTATCCAACCTTTTCCCCTTATCTCTCCCCTTTCTACTTCTGCTGTGGTTTGAAGCTTAAATGTTCCCAAAAGGCCTGTGTATTAAAGGTTTAACTTGGTACTACTTGGAGATGGTGGAAACATTAAGAGATGGGGCCTACTGGGAGATCTTCTGGTCATTAGGAGGGAATTATGGGACAGCCTAAAAGTAGAACAGCATCTTGTGGGCATGAAAAATAAAGCCAACCATTACAAACAGCTAAAGAGATGTACCGTGAAGCCACTGCACCAGTCTGAAAGCCTGAACTGCTTTCTGCCTTCTCATGTGAGAAAAGGAAAGCCCTCATTTTGTTAAACTCTTGTAGCTGATTTCTGTCCTATAAATCAAACACAATCCCACATTAAATTTTCTTTTATCCTTTTCTGAATTGGCTTCTTGTTTTTTTCTTACTAATGTGCTTTACTTTATATATTAAGACAGTAAGTTCTCATGGTTGAAAATATCTTCCTCCAGCTTATCAACTATCACGACTTTCCATATAATCTTGTTTGCATAATAGAGAAGTTTTTAATCCTTATGCAGTAGACTTACCAATCTTTTCTCTTTAAGGTTTCTGTGTCATGAGTTTCACTGGAAAGACCTTCTCTAATGGAAAATTCTGACAATAACTTACGCATGTTTTCTACTAATACTTTAACAATGTCAGTTTTCAATTTTAAAACTTCAGTCTTTCTGGAATTAATTTTAGTGTAAAGATCCTATGGTGTACTTTGCCCCTCCAAATGGTCAGCCAATTGTACCATACAACTTTGTTGAAAACTTCATCTCTTTACCCAGTGATTTGAAATGTATTTTATCAAATTAAATTTTCGCATGTATTTCAACCTAGAAAGTGCTTGAATGATAAAACTATTCCCATATGAATGCTGAGTGAATTTAACTATTATAGTTTTATGGTATATTCTTTTGGGGCCAGTTCTCCTTATTATTCATTATTTGCAATATTCCTTGTTGCTTTCATACAACATAGGCTTCTTTAACATTCTTGCCTCTCACTCTCATTGGAATTTTATATGGATGTAATTTAGGTAAATTAATTGTGATTTTTCTGAAAGAGTCAGGATGTCCTGATAAATTTTCCCCAGGAGAGCCTAAAGATAGTTATTTACATAGCTGACAGCCCAAAATGGTGGGGCTATGTGAATTTTTAGAAAAAATGTTACATGACCCTCCTTAAAGAAAACATGCAGGATCTCATGCTTTTGATCAAATAAGTGCCTTTGTAGAATGCCCTCTGAGAAATGAACTTAATTTTTTTTCCTTGTGCTCAGTTCTTAGTCTCCTGATCCATGTTATTTACCACAGTCTATAATCACTATCCTTAATATTCTAAAACAAGAAATTCATGCTTAGTAGCCCTCAGTCTATTCCCAAAAACAGAACAAAAACAAAAGATAAGCTGGAGAGGTTGGATGGTAAGTTGTCTGTGAGGTGAAAACATTCTGGATTGGAAAAAGTATACGTCAACTAGTTACAAGTAGTGAAAAACTTCACTGAATCAGTACTTAAAATATGTAAAGCAATATTCTTTTTCTGAGGGGACAGAAGTTTTGTTTATTAAATTCTACATTACCTGTATGCTAAAAAAAACCTTATGGTATTTGCAATACTATTGTTTAGGGTATCTGTGCTCATGAACAAGGTCCTCTGTTGGTATTTTATATGTGAACTTGGTAAATAAGGTCCATATATTAAGTAATGCAGATAAGCACCTAGAAGTATATCACTGCACAAAGACCCTAAAGGACATCAGACCACTAAGAACATCACACACTCCTCTGTTACTGCTCATTGTGCATTTTTCCCTTCTCTGAGTTGTTTCCTTATATACCCCACTTGCCATATGTGCAAAATGTACTCACTTTTACTCTATGAGTTCAAACCTGTTCACTGTACAGAAACACATGACATCGAAGCCTTCCAGCATGCTTCTAATTCCAATACATTTTAATGTGACTTGTATACTCTCATAACTTTTCTGTAAGTAAATAAATAAATCTAACTTATTGTGGCAAAAATAGCTTTCTTATAGCTTCTGTCTGGAAAACTTGATAAAATGGTTATTGTTGATATTCTGGTTCCTATC